TCTCTCTCCAATTCTGATTTTTGAGCCTTGTCTCCTTTATTCTTTGTCAGCCTAAGGGTTTTTCAGATTTGTTAATCTTTTCAAATAATCAATCAATATTTCATTTCGTGGATTCTCCACTATTATCTCTCATTTTCTGTGTTATTTACATCCTAGTTTCCTTCTTTCTGTTGGGTTTGGATTTAACTTCCACTTTTTACCTTTGGTAAAGTAGATTAGGTTATTGATTTGAGATCATCTTATTAGCATATGTGTTTATATGGCTATAAAATTTCCAAGCACAGCTATAACTGTGTCCCATTGGTATTAGTGTGTTGTGGTTTTCTGTTTACTAATTTCAAATTATTTTCTAATTTTTCTTGGGTACATGTGTTTTTTTCTTGACTGGTTATTAAGAAGTACATTGTTTAACTTCCACATATATATGAAATTCCCCAAATTTCTTTCTGCTATTGATTCCTAATTTCAATCCATTGTGGTCAGAGAACATATTTTTTCTTATTTCAATACTTTTAAATTTATTGACGCTTGCTTTATGGTATCAAGGTCAGTGTTTGTTCCCTCTTAGGGAATATTGAGAAGAATGTATATTGTGCTATTGTTGAGTGTATATTCTGTGGATATCTGTTAAGCCTGGTTGATTTTTAATGGTGCTCAAATAGTCTCTTTCCTTAATGATTTTCTGTCTCATTTTGATAAATTACTGAAAGTGGGGTATCAAAGTCAGAATCTACTACTGTCGAATTGTCCCTTTCAATTCTGTCATGTATTTCAGAGCTCTGTTGCTTTGCTTTCCTGATGGGCTGACCCATCATCGTTATAAAATGTTTTCGCTTGCCTCTAACAATAGTTGCCAGGTCTGTTTTGTCTGATGTCAGGATAGCCACACCCGGTGTCTCCTGCTAGCATTTTCACTGTGTTTATGGACATGTTGACTTTTAGAGGCATTAGATGACCATTCATGGAAGTGGAACTGCTACTTAGGAAACATCCCTACAGATTTTTAAATTTTAGACCTGCTTTCTCCCTCTTTCCAAAGTTACCCTTTGGAGATTCTATGATGCTGGCTTCACTGCTTCAATTCCTGCTTTGGACCAGCTTTCACAGGTCTTTAAATCACTACCATACGTCCTTCTGCTTTCCAGCTTTCAAAATTGTGCAACAAGTAAGTCCTTTTCTATCTTTTTTGTTCTCTTGGGTTTATTATGTTTTTTAAAAGAAGTCTTTACCATTACATCAATCAATTTTTTTACCCCAGAGAGGAGAGCTCAATAAGTAATTTCAATCCTGCCTTGTATTTATAGGTAAAACCTTTAGCTCTTAGCTACTTTATTCTCATTAACCTAAATCTTATTGTGTATTTTCCAGCATCTCTTCCATCATCAGAGAGATTTTTAATATTAGGAATCCCGGGGCTGGGGATTTAGCTCAGCGGCAAAGCGCCTGCCTGGCAAGCGCAAGGTCGTGAGTTCTGTTCCCGGTACCGGAGAAAAACCAAAAAAAAAAAAAAAATTAGGAATCCAGTTCCTGGTAAGACCTTAAATTTAATTAGCGTGCTTCTTTTGGGGCTAGGTCACCTTTCAGATTTAGGTGTGGAATTTGAACACCTTTAATTCAACTAAGAGTAGTCAGCAGCTTCCAGGTGTATTTCCTGCGTATTTTCCTTAGAGCGATGGCTCCCCAACTTGGCCATCCCTGGAGTGTGAGACAGGAAGTCTGCGGCAAGGCCAAAGTTTTGCTTTTATAACACGTGCCCAGGGTGCAGTTCTGCCCATCAGAGGACCACACTGAGAACGACTGTTCACTATGTGGAAGCTCAGGGGCTCCTGTGGGGGTTAGCAGGACATTTGGAAGCAGACGAGAACAGGAGGGAAGGGATAGGAGGGAGGAATAGAGGACAGCAGTGTGAACCCTCTGTGTTTAAGCCGTGGCTCCCAGCTCCTGGCTGATCTGTTTCCCGTTTCTCCGTCCTGATAAAACCAAGCCAACATCTGCTCAGAGAACAGTCTCTGGCATCGGAACTGTCATTTTTTTCCTTAACGTGCTGGGGATCAAACTGAGGGCCTCCTCATATGTGCTGAACTCCCACTCAACCACTGAGCTCCACTCCAGCCCCAAAACTGTAATTTATTCAGGAAGAAAAAAAAAAAAAAAGAATGATTATCCATCAAAACTTTCATCGGAAGCCCTTCAAGTATGTTTTTATGTGCATTTGTAAAGGCATTAGGGAGTACCTGTGGGGTCTGTAGAAGGCTTGACATAATGTTTGGAGACAGGACCTCACCAAATTACTGAATTGCCCAGGCTGGGCTAAAACTTGGGATCCTCTTGCCTCAGCCTCCCAGAGTGCTGCAATTACAGGCGTGTACTACCTACTGCAGCCAGCCTGATTTAATTTTACGAGAATCATTAAGAGTATTTTCTGAGGCAACAGGATCCTAGGAAGTTTTGCCAGGGCATCACATGAGCTCAGGTTTCAGTTGTCCCTGGTTGAAAGTTTGAGAAGGAAACCCTGAACATTGTCTAAACCGTGGAGGCAGAGGGGGTGTCCCTGGGAGCCATGGCTTAAACACAGAGGGCTCACCGATAGTTGGAGATACAGGTAGGAGAAGCCCAAGCCTAAGGCCATTCCTTTGGGTTATTTTCATTTAGCCATTTGGAAGTCTGCCAGAACTGTTTTGGGTTTAGCCTTTTTTTTGTTCTCCTCAGAATGTTCTTTTGTCTTGTGGTTACAAATATTGAGAGATACAATTGTGACCACAAAAGGTAGTGTCCCAAAGGACAGGAGCTGTTGGGAAGAAGCCAAGAGAAGTGAGAACCCCAAACTCTTGCCCCAGGGGAGGCTGCCTCTCACAGACCTTTTATTAGTTACGGTGCTGTGCACCTGGGTAGTCTTGGCCACACCGGAAGGGGAGGAAACAAGGCCTTCAGAGGTGAAATGAGACAGCAAGTTGCAGATGTTTTACCTGCTTATCATTTCTCTGTCTCCTCCCTTCCTTCCTTCTTTCCTTCCTTTTCTTTCTCTCCCTCTCTTTTTCTTTCTTTTTCCTTCCTTCTCTCCTTCCTCCCTCCCTCCCTCCTTCCTTCCTTTCAACCATACTAGGGATTGAACCCAAGGCCTCACATATGCTAGGAAAGTGCTCTACCATTGAGCTACACCCCAGGTCTTTAAAAATCTATAAAATGCTTTGGTTGGAGGTAATTCCCAAAGATGTTTCCATCCTAGAGTTCTGTGGGGGTTTTTTCCCTCCAAGATGACCTCTTGTATGGGAAGGAAGGGAGGACAGGGTAGACAAGCAGTCTTGTGACTTCTAAAATAAAGCTCAGAGGACGCAGACGATTCAGTCTTCCCTGAACCGTGTGGTCTCAGGGGCTCCATATGATTTCCTGTTAGTGGTTTTCAATGGCTGTGGAATAGAAGGAAGTTCATTGCTGTGACAGTCAGGCAGCCACACTAGGGAAAATATGATGTATTGTGTTGTATAGGAAAAAAAATCAATGTGACCCAGTCCAGTAATCTGATTTTTAGACAAAGGCATGACCCTGGAACGTGCTGTCTATGGCTAACCATAACATTAGTGTTGTCTCCAAAAACAGTTTTCAGAAAATCAGTGTGCATTTGGCTTGTCTGTTTCTTTTGGATATGGAAATATATTTTGCCCAGATTGTTTTTTTTTTCTTTCTTATTTTGGAAACCACTGAATTGTTCCTTACTGCAATAATTAAGTTAGCATTTATTGCATACCTACTATGTGCAGGGCTTTGTGTGAAGTGACAAAAAACAGAGAAAGTCTCTGAGGTCAGGGAATATATCTAGCCAAGGGGAGGGGTGAGAAAGACCCAAGTGGGGAGGGCAGTAGTCATTTCTCAGTCCCTTTCTTTCATTTTGCAGGAAATTACAGAGCATCTGCTATGTGCCAAGGTCTGTGCTGGGGATGGGGGTACAAAAGTACCCCTAAGACAGATGCATTTGTCTCTAGCGAGGCCATGCTACACTGAAGCATGTTAATCCTGAAACAGACGCGGCCACGTCACCGTGTGATGGAGTGGATGGATAGGTGGGGTGAGGGTCCCAAGAGGGTTTCCAGAGGTGATCTGGGGAATAAAGCAAAGTAGAATTGGGCGCTAGCCAAATAAGCAAAAGCAGATGAAACAGTGGCCCAGGGGCTGAGCAGAGGAGGAGGTGCTCCACAGGGTATGGAATGTGGATTGAGGGAACAATGGCAGGAAATGAGACCATAAAAGTAGTTGAAGTTCAGCTCTTGAAGATGTTTTACCCCATACTTAGGACATTGGTCCTCAACTTAATTTGATGGAAACCTCTTTAGCATCTCATAATGGAAGACTTATTACAGGAAACTGTAGCCACTCAAAGGAGCATACAGATGATAGAACAGCATAGCTTTTAAGTCCTACAAAAAAGCAGAACATAAACAGTTCATGCTCCCCAGCATTATTACATAAAGTATAATTAGGACTGTGGCGGAGCAGGGGGGAATGTCTAAAGGTAGAGTCTGTTACTTCTGTCGTAAGATTCTTTCAGAATTCCCTTGCAGTATTTACTCAGTATTGAATCCCTGTTCTATGCCAAGAGACCAAGATACAGCCCCTTCCCTAGATACGGGAGGTATGAGAGAACCAGTCATTTTCTTATACTATTAAGAAGCGTATGATTAGGAAGTATCCAGAATAAGCAAATCCATAGAGACAGGAAGTAGACTGGTGTTTGGCAGGATCTGGAGGGAGGAAGGGAAGAATTCACTGGTGGCCAACAGGCAGAGTATCTTTTTAAGGTGATAGAAATAATGTGGAATTAGGCAGTCATATTGGTTGTACAAACTTGTGAGTACCGTATCCTAAAATCCACTGCAGTGTCTACTTTGGTTAAAATGGCAAATTTTATCTTATGTGAATATTATCATAATAAAAACTATAGAGGAGAAAAGAATGCCGATAGAGTCCGCAGCAGTGACATCTTTTCTCTTTCTTGTTTTTGGTAGTAAAGGGCAATCACAAGTGTGAGCTGAACTGCCAGGCAATGGGCTACCGCTTCTATGTGCGGCAAGCTGAGAAGGTTATTGACGGCACCCCCTGTGACCAAAACGGCACAGCCATCTGCGTGTCAGGACAGTGCAAGGTAAGTGCCCCCGGACTGGGGTATCCTAGGCGAAGTCTTGGAGTGTTGGATTTCTGGCTGCTGATGTGTTGTTTTGTAGGGGGCAGGCTGCTCCTGACCCTAAGCCCACCGGGCTCCCCAGAACCATGGAGCTCTGGGAGAGGTGGGTTGGGACTGGATAGCTTGTCAGCTCTGTGCTTTTGACTTCTGGGAGTGGCTGCATCCCTCTCCAAGGCATTTCAGTCATTAAGTGATTTATGTTTACACCATGTGCTTCTTTCCTGGTGGAGTCCACAGCTCCTTTCCTGCCTGCGAGGCAGAGGTTATAGAGAGGGCATTGCTGGTTATATCCAGAAGTGGCTAGCATCGTGAGGGTGGCATTTTAAGGGAATGGCATATTTTATTTTGCCTCCTCCCCAGAGGAGGCAGGCTTCCAAAGGAAAGTTGTTCAGTGCCTTTTATAGCAGAAGTTGTACTTTAAACAGGAAGAGTTTTCCACCTCCTTGGCTCTGAAGTCTGTTCCAGGAACTCCCGCCCTGCATTCTGCAAACATTCTGGCCCTGAGAAAGTCCTTGGGGGATGCTCCTGTGGAACGCAAGCTCCGTTTGGGTAAAAATGGGCATCCTAGGTCGAACGGCACCAATTCCATAGCCACAGTCACTTGCGTCTGACCCCCTACCCTCCTTTCATCTATAAATGCATTAGTGGAGCTAGGAGCCAGCAGGTAAAGGACACTGGAACCTAGATTAAGTGTCTATCTTAATTAATACTCAAAAGCTGGCAAGACCGACTTACATCAAAGGAAGAGCTTTGGCCATAACATCTGAAAGTTCCTGCTGTACTTTGTAAATTACTGTGCGGTTAATATTAGGGCTCTTGAAGTGTGATTTATAAGCACAACCTCTCCACCCTTCTCCCGTTTTTAAATGATGGTTTCAAATAGGATACACAATAACTCGCCACGGTAGAATTGATTTTCTCCAATTTAGAGTGACAGTTATGAAAGAGAGAGACGTCAGTCACTTGACACCCGAGGTATACGCAATGTCCTTGGGAGAGCCAAACCCCGAAAGAATTAGGATGCGGCCCAGAAGGCAGGAAGCATGGTGGGAAGTTCACATCTTGGCCTCCGGTTTTTCATCCTTTGGGAAAACCTAGCTGTCATTCATATACTCTCTCTGGGCCTCGGAGCCCTCGGATACAGACCAGAGTTCTGTTCAAGCGCTGTCAGCTCCACTCCAGTGGTCTCTGCTTCTAAAATGTCACTGAGTCTAAAGTGATGGACCTTAGAGCAATTGGTGTTTTCTTTCAGGTCCCAAAGCAACTGTGCTCATTCCCTGAATGCAGGGTCCGGGAGGAGGGGAGTATAATGATTAGAAACGTACACTCTGCAGTCCAACTACCTGGGGTCCAGTCCTGTCTTCTGTACTGACTTACAGTGTGATATGCCAGAGTTAGCTTGCTCTGTGCCTCTGCACATTCTCCACATGGTGATGAGGAGGAGCAGAAGGAGGATGATCACTTCTGTGTCGTGGCGAAGAATCATAACCCTTCTGCGGGGTCAGGCACGCAGAAAGCACACTGGTATTTATTAATATTATTGCTGTATATGCCCACATATATGCCATGGTACTTTAGTTCTATGCAAAAGTTTTGCAGCCCTTCCCCCACTTTTTGGGGGGTGTGTTTGTGGCAGACGGTAGATTCACGTTGTCTTTTGAGACAGTGCTTTCACACTGTTATTTGAATCTCAGGCAGGATACAGGGAGATGCGGATTCTGACTCAGCTGGTCTAGAGAAGGGCTGGAGTGTCCACTTCTCTCAAAAGCTCTGCATGGTGCTGATGCTGCTGGTCACTGCACCATACTTTGAGAAGCAAGGTTATAAGAGAGGAACGCTTGGATTAAAGTACAGTTAGCAAAGAACCAGACACGTAAACTCGGGGTGGTGAGGTGGCTGGGAGGGAAGATGAAATGTGGTTGTTTTCCAGGGAGACAGCAGCGTGTCCTTTTAGTGTGGTAGTCAGGGTCTCTGAAGTGAATGATAGAAAAGAAAAACAAACAGCGATAAGGACTCGGGTGTGTATTCCTACTAATTGAGGAGGACCGTTCAAGCTATAGGGCAGCACAGTTTGCAGATAACAATTGCTAAAGGCTGAGATGAGCATTTTCTATCTTAATAGGATTCTGGTGTTACAAGGGCCATTTTGAGACACTTCTTATTTATTTGTTCTCTGTGCTTGTGCCTGGAATTCCCTCACTGAAGTTGCTGGAACCACCGACTACCCCGTCCTCTCTATAACTTCAGTTTAAATAATCAGAAGTACTTTGGCCTGCCAGGCAGAAGTCCTATTTACTTAGTGGTTTTCAAAGGGTAAAACGTCTTTCTCTGAATATTTGATTGTACGCCCAGAATCAAATGGATGCCTCTGCCTCACTGAGTTGTGGCTGAGAAAGCTGTCACTCACAGACGGAGCTCCCTAAGAGATGTGGCCGCCTCTGCTGTGGTCCCCCAGAGCCTCCCCAGCCACGTGAAGCTGAAGGCAGGGTCAGGCCTGCAAATACAGTGAACGAGAGGTGACAGTGGTAGTAAGACTATGCAATGAGCTCTCACAGTAGCTAGGAGAGTAGCGTATGGCTCCACATCGAGGCAAATGAAGGGCCCAAACCAGCCGTTGCAAACTTAGTGCACGGCTCCAGCTCCAGCTCCAGCTCTAGGTACAGCCTGAATTGGCCCCGTAGCTGGGGTTCCCTGCATGTTAGTTTGACCCAGGAGTTGGAAAGGAACAGAAAGGAAGCCAGCATCCTAGGACTGACTTCATTGGACTGGGGCACTGGACAGAATGGGGAGTTGATCTCTGATATCCAGCGCAACTTTCTTAATAAGGACCGAAGCATCCCAAATCTTGGTCCTAGGCCAGTGACTGGGTATATCTAGTCTTTGAAGAGAAAGGACCACAGAGATCCCACCCTGCCTTTCCTAAGTGAGAGGATGTATGGGAGGCCACCGAGATTCCTCTCAACATCAATGGGGACATCTGGCCCATCTTCAGAGAGGTCTCAGAGCCAATCCAGGTCCTGATTGCCATTTATGGGAATGGAATAGCATTCAGGGTAATTAGCAGCAAGCACAATCACAATTTCTGTTCCTAAGCAGTGCATTAACTGTGCTGTGATTTATATTTTACTTGATCTCAACTTAAACTTTGTTTTTAAAAAAATACTGAAGTTTCCATTTCATGTGTACATTTAATTACTTTTGTCTGCAGCTTAACAAAAACAGGTGAAACGCTGATTTGAAGGTATAGCAGGCATTTGAAAGAACAAGGTCATATCAGGTAAAGGACTTAAGGGGCAAAAAAAAAACCCTTAGCTGCCTGGACACCAGGCTTTCAGAAACCTCGGGCTTCCAGACTTAAAGGATCTGGAAAGAGCCAGGATCACTCCAAGCCCTACCCTTTTCTCCGCTGTGGGAGATGAGGCAATCTTTGGTCATGGGGGAACAGTCCTTGAGTGGGTGCTTTGCAAAGAAGAAGCTACTTCACATCAGAGAGAGCACAAGCTGGAGCAGCTGCAGGCCAGGAGGAGCCACTTCTGAGGTTTGTGTACCAAGCACTGTACTATGGGCTTTACGTACAAGGGATTTCTTCATAGTGACCTGATCGGATAGGAATTATTAATCCCCATGTCCAGAAAACTGTTGTGAAGATTAGTGAGACATAAACTAAAGACCGCAGAGGAGTTCACTGTTAACATTGGCTTTTGAGGTTGAACTTAACCAGAACAGAAAAAAGTGGCATAGTCGCTCAACAATAGGGCCCTTGTCTCACAGGCATGAGTTCCTGGGTTCGAGCCCAGTACCACCAATAAAAAAAATAGTGTGTATGTAATGAAGAAAAAATGTGTTCTCTCCTTTTCTAAGTTCATTTTCCTTAGGTCCTCTTTCCAAAATGATTGTCTTTTCAAAGCACAGATCAGGACATGCCCGTCTTTTACTTCAATTCCACCCATGGCTCCACACCACGTATAGAATAAAGTCCAGGCTTCCTGGCCCTGGTGCTGGGTGGGCCAGAGACCCAGCAGCCTCCACTTTGGGCCTCCATGAGAACACACTTGCCTGTCATCCTGGAGTGCCGTTCTCTGTCCTGTCTCTGCTTTAGCGAAAGGCCTGCCATCCGAGTAGGTGCTTACAGTGGAAATGAAATAAGGTACTTTGTGATGTAAGATGCTAGAGCTCAGCAAGTGAAATTAGTCTCAAATCCAATGCAGTTTTCTCGGGGCTGGGGATTTAGCTCAGCGGCAAAAGCGCCTGCCTGGCAAGCGCAAGGTCGTGAGTTCGGTTCCTGGTACCGGAGAAAAACCAAAAAAACCAAAAAAAAAAAAAGTTAACCAATGCAGTTTTCTCATTTGGGGCTTGCGATAGGCGGTTGGGTGCAGATAAAGCAAGGAGAGAAAACTCCCTTCGGCCACAAGCCCAGAGCCCAAGGCCTTGGAGGACAACGCTTGACCCCTCTCCATGTTCCTCTCTCCCTCGTCTTCCCTGTGTTTTCTGTTGCTTGCTGTGAATACCCTGTGTCCATTCAGCATTAGTATCAGAAGAATCTAGGAAGGTGTGAGGCTGTATGTTCTCACCGTCCTCCTGCCAGAGGGAAGGAAGCCCCTCTGCCCAGCAGTCTCCCCAACAGTCTCCCAGGGCCCACCTGCCCTGGCCTGTCGTCACCCGGCCACCACAAGCCAGGCGCTTCCTGAGGCCCCCACCAGCCACCCACAGTCAGGGGGAACCAGGACATCTCCTCTGTGAGCTGGCACACCACGTGGCTTCCTTTGGGATGCATCAGCAGTTCCGCATTTTAAATTTCAATAAATTAAGGCAAGGTAACTGTTTCTAAATGTTCAGAGATGAGCTCTGAACCACTGTGCTGCCCACCCTTGGGAGAGTTGACGTGATGGGTGTGCAAGTGCATGCATGTGTGTGCACGTGAGTGCATGCATGTGTGTGCATGTGTGTAGCGTGTTCAGGTG